AAAATTTCTAAGCAAATGAATTGAAAAAAAAAAAAAAAAAAAAAAAAATTGAACGAAGTGTTGTTACTTGCATTTGCAGTTTATAAACAAAGATAATCTGATAGAGTGTTGTTACATGCTGATTGGGCAGGGTCTAAGAAAGATAGAAGATCAACTTCAAAATATTGTGTATTCGTGGGTGGTAACTTGGTTTCTTGGAAACTAAGAAACAAAAAGTGGTGTCACGTTTGAGCATTGAATTAGAATAAAAAGGGATGCCACAACTTATATGTAAATTATTATGGATACGTCAACTTCTTATTGAACTGGGATTTGATCTACAACACCGACTAAACACATCGAGGTCAGCTGTCATTTTATACATGAAAAGATACAACAAGGTTTGGAATCAAAAGATATGTGAAGAATGTTGAACGATTAGGGCATATCTTCACAAAAGCATTAAATGGAGCCAAAATAGATCATCTCTCTACCAAGTTGGGCATGATGAATATATATGCTCTAACTTGAGGGGGAGTGTTATAATTTTCATATTAGTAAATTTATAATTTTGTTAGTATATTAATTGTGCTTGTCCTTCCTACTTAAGTTAATCTTGTACACATGTATATATTTATCTCTTTAGTGAATGGAATAGAGTATTCTCATTCTCTCAACCATTATTGTTTACGCGTGATAAACAATAAGAAAAAATCCTTGAAAGCTACACCAGATTTTTTCCACTTTTAGTCTCCAACTTTCCTTTCCATCTAAAGCAACTCCTTGGTGAGAATTTTGAAACAAGAGGTAATGCTGGAAGGTGCAAGACCAAATTGAGTAGGCATTCACAAAAGGATTGAATGTATCAAATTGTAGAGTTTCAATGACAACTTGCTGAAGGAAATGTAAATAAGTGTAACATTGTTGACAAGGGAATATTCAAGGTATACTAACAATAGAGCTATATTAGATGATCTTAGAAAACATTTAAAACTATTCTAGAAATATCTGACATTTAGAGTTATCTTTTATTTAGCTCCATTGAGAATTTCTCTAGTCTTAATATACTCTTGAAGAAATCTATTGTTTTGGGCTTCTCCCTCGAAAAATTTAAAGAAATAGTTTGTGATAGCCCAAGCCCACCGCTAGCAGATATTGTCCTCTTTGGGCTTTCCCTTTCGGGCTTCCCTTCAAGGTTTTTAAAACACGTCTACTAGGGAAAGGTTTTCACACCTTTATAAATGGTGTTACATTCTCCTCCCCAACCGACGTGGGATCTCACATGGTTCTAAGTTGAGCTTGTGCGTAATGTATGGAAAGTGCAATAGATACTAGTTTTGAAGCGTCCATCCTTTTACTTTACATATACGTGATTGCTTTGGTAGCACGACTTATTTAATGGAACTAGTCATAAACCTATCTGTTTTTTTAATCAAAACAACAAACCAAAGATGTAAAAGAGACAAACAAGGCCCAATTAAGACATTCAGTAAAGATTTTATGTTTATGACAGTAAAAAACATAACACACGCTCACCATAACATTATAGTAATCTGTCATCAGCGCTATGAGACCAACAACAGATGCAGTCCCCTCCGGCAAGGAAAGATATGCCTGGAAAGCAAAGGCATAACAAAATCAAAAGCAGCTAATTAAGGACCAACGAAAATTGTATTGCATAGCTTATCAGTTACTAAGAAAACTTCACCATTTAAAGAGGGAAGGAAAATTATTGTGAAGAATGGCAATCCTAGTCCTAAGGAAAAGTAAAAGAACAAAATGTATTAAAACCCCAACTTTTTTATCCACCAGATTAGAATGAAGCCAATTGAGGAATAGCAAAAGGAAAGTCAACCTGGAAGTCCTTGTTACTTTTGAAATTCAAATTGATCAAAGGATAGGATAAAGAGATATTAGGCTTCCATTTCAATGAGATAGGACAGTAAATACGAGGGAAAACTGCTATGAAAGAGGGAGGCAGCAATGAACTTATCCTCCTGAAGAGAAAATGGTTCCTATCATCAGAAGAGAGGGAAACTAAAGCTTGAACCAACGAATTCAAGCAAATTTAAAGAGCTCCAACAAGGAAACAACAACTTTTGCGTTCCAATCATTGGAGTATAAACCATATTGATTAAAATAACCTTAAAACTCCTCTTGAGAAATAATCCTGCTAAATCACCAATCAACCCAAAGTCACAACTCGAGACAAACTAAGACGGAATTGTCAAACCCAAGCCCATAAAACGATTGAACACAAAAATAATCTTCATGAGCTTCAAATATCTATTCAATACCAAGAATAAATCTTGTCATTTTCGAAGCAGAAATGAGTAAGCCCTTACCCTCACATTTAGTTATCCTCAATTACGTTTTCCCCTCAGCCCCCTTGATGAAGATATCAACAAGAAGATAAGAAAGAGACACTTATCTAAGCCCCTGAAGCTTGTGATTTTGCCTGAAGGCTCTCCATTGAAGAAAACCCAAAAGTTAGGCACTTACCAATGCAAAGTTGACAAACAGTGCAATTCAATCATAATAACTGAGTAAATGAACCAACACTAGTCTATCAAAATTCTGTGAACCATTGAGGAAATTAGCATAGGAAACAACAATTATCAGTGAGAAGAAAGTCAATAGTCACGACGTGTACATATACAAAAAGGAAGAAGTCAACTTATACAAAAAAAAAAAAAAAAAAAAAAAAAAAAAAAAAAAAAAAAAAAAAAAAAAAAAAAAAAAAAAAAAAAAAAAAAAAAAAAAAAAAAAAAAAAAAAAAAAAAAAAAAAAAAAAAAAAAAAAAAAAAAAAAAAAAAAAAAAAAAAAAAAAAAAAAAAAAAAAAAAAAAAAAAAAAAAAAAAAAAGGAGCAACATTGCAACATTAAGCACTTAAAAAATATTAAAATATTGCTCATGTAGTCGGCGGAGGGGGATAAAGCACATCATAAAGGTAACCGTGAGAATTTGCTAGCATATAAGGACTTCACATACCCTGTTCATATTGTAAAGAGCCTCTACCATCTCAATTGATCTACCATACGTAGAAGAAGCCACCTGAAAACGTTAAAGAGGAAAATAATTAAAAATATATAAGAACATAAGATTTATGAGATATGGTGCACAACACTAGTTGAAGTGTTATAAAAAGACATACCCTTTTCCAGTCTTGTCCATATTTTCTGTACGCTTCATAAAAAATCTCAATTTCCCTCATGCTCCATTGAGGTCCCAACTTCTCACACAAGTTCTTCTTCTGTCAGAAGGTTATAAAGACAATATAACAATCAGGTCCACAGATATGAGATTTGTCAACCTTGAAATAGTTACAAATGATGAAGAACACTTTATTGAACAACTTTTAATGAAAAATTCACACACACCACCACCACCATCATCAAAAAGATACAATAAAATCCTGCCTTTTTAATGAGGTATTTTGTAGTATATCAACGTATTAACATCTACACTGTTTCTTATACCCCTTGAAATTACTGACAGATACTCTGGGGGTGTCCTGAAGCTAAAATCAAAACTGAAATAGACGGCCTACTCCATTCTTCCTTGTATTCAGTCTCCAAACTTAATCTTACTAAGAGAAACGGTTGAGGATTGTTGGGAGGGAGTCCCACATTGGCTAATTTAGAGAATGATCATGGGTTTATAAGTAAGAAATACATCTCCATTGGTATGAGGCCTTTTGGGAAGCTGAAAGCAAAGCCATGAGAGCTTATGCTCAAAGTGAACAATATCATACCATTGTAGAAAGTCGTTATTCCTAACATGGTATCAGAGTCATGCCCTTAACTTAGTTCATGTCAATAGAATCCTCAAAAGTTGAACAAAGAAGTTGTGAGCCTCGAAAGTGTAGTCAAAAGTGACTCAAGTGTCGAACAAATGGTGTACTTTGTTCGAGAGCTCCAGAGAAGGAGTCGAGCCTCGATTAAGGGGAGGCTGTTTGAGGGCTCCATAGGCCTCAGGGAAGGCTCTGTAGTGTACTTTGTTCGAGGGAAGGACTGTTGAGGATTGTTGGGAGGGAATCCCACATTGATAATTTAGAGAATGATCATGAGTTTATAAGTAAGAAATACATCTTCATTGGTATGAGGTTTTTTGGGAAGCCCAAAGCAAAGTCATGAGAGCTTATGCTCAAAGTAAACAATATCATACCATTGTAGAAAGTCGTTATTCCTAACATGGTACCAGAGTCATGCCCTTAACTTAGTCATATCAATAGAATCCTCAAAAGTTGAACAAAGAAGTTGTGAGCCTCGAAGGTGTAGTCAAAAGTGACTCAAGTATCGAACAAATGATGTACTTTGTTCGAAAGCTCCAGAGAAGGAGTCGAGCCTCGATTAAGGGGAGGTTGTTTGAGGGCTCCATAGGCCTCAGGGAAGGCTCTGTAGTGTACTTTGTTCGAGGGAAGGATTGTTGAGGATTGTTGGGAGGGAATCCCACATTGCTAATTTAGAGAATTATCGTGAGTTTATAAGTAAGAAATACATCTCCATTGGTATGAGGCCTTTTGGGAAGCCCAAAGCAAAGTCATGAGAGCTTATGCTCAAAGTGGACAATATCATACCATTATAGAAAGTCGTTATTCTTAACATGGTATTAGAGCCATGCCCTTAACATAGTCATGTCCATAGAATCCTCAAAAGTCGAACAAAGAAGTTGTGAGCCTCGAAGGTGTAGTCAAAAGTGACTCGAGTGTCAAACAAATGATGTACTTTGTTTGAGAACTCCAGAGAAGGAGTTGAGCCTCAATTAAGGGAAGGCTATTCGAAGGCTCCATAGGTCTCAAGGAAAGCTCTGTAGTATACTTTGTTCGAGGGGAGGATTGTTGACGATTATTGGGAGAGAGTCTCACATGGGCTAATTTAGGAAATGATCATGGGTTTATAAGTAAGAAATATATCTCCATTGGTACAAGGCCTTTTGGGAAAGCCCAAAGTAAAGCCAAGAGCTTATACTCAAAGTGGACAATATCATTTCATTGTGGAGAGCCATTATTCCTAACATAAACAATAGAAATTCACATTCACAACTAAAATATAGTCAGACAGCAAAAAAAGCTCAGGATAAATTCAGAACTCAGAAGAGACGGGACAGAATTACTCGTTTCTTGCTTCTTTGCGAGCTCGTATAACTTTTTTCAGCCGAGGGATTATTTGAATGAAGGATTCTTTTGTTTCGACTCGTGGATTTCTTTGGAGGCGCCATTGAATTTTATCTGTAATCCGCTAAAGCAATTGGTGAGAACAAGATACGCAATGCAGCTTTCAAGATGAAGTTCAAACGCAAGAAAATCAAGACTGAACATGGCGGAAATACCTGGCTTGTCCGTCGATTAACTCTTTAAGCGCCAATCTCTAAATGCCTGTCGGTGGAGCATTGGGGAAGTTTCTCCCGGAAGATGATGAAGATCCGGCGGCTTTTTCAAATGCGGATGAGAGGACCGCCGAATTTTGAATTATCTGGTGAAAAAGAGAATAAATAATTAAATTACAAATTTAGTTTCAAATTTTAGACTTTTATTTACTCTTGATATATTCGAATTAAATAATAATAATTAAGTATATATAAATAAAATTTTATATATTATATATAAATTTAAAAATTCACCGGAGATTAAATATATATAAATAAATTAATAAAGATTATGCAATAAACTTGTAATTTAACTTAATAAAAAAATTATTCGATAACCAATAAAAATATAAGAAATTATATGTTTAAAGTTAAAAAAATATTATAGAAAATTTTATAAAACGCTGATTTTTTTATATTTAATTCAAATTTTAGTCGACGTCATGTCTTTTTATATCACTATTAAGAGTGTATATAGATTGGATCAGGTTGACTCGAGACATTATTTAAACTTAGCTCAATTGTTCCGATGGTAAACTTAACCCAACTAAGTAATTAATTATTATTAAATAACGTACCCAATCATAAAAATATTGGGTCAGAGTTAGTTTGGATTATTGATTTAATTTTTTGTATTTAATAAAAAAAAATAATGTTGATATGTTTTTTTTATATTTATTTTCAATATGAAAAATTAAATTAGTTAATTATAAAAGTTATTGGAAATAAATAATTGCGGAATTAAATAAAATTATAACAAATGTGCATAAATATTAAAAAGTAATTATTTAAGATTTTCGTAAAATTTTTATTTATTAAACACACCAAATTGAAATAAATTAATAATCCAACCTAAACTCAAACCAAAAATCTAATTTTTTCAAATTCTGAGAGTTTTTTTTTAACACATGTATTCTTTATTATGTTTACGATATGAAAACCTTAAACAATTGAATGCACCTCATCATTACTCCTTACAAGGACACTATGTTTATTATAAACGCATTTGTGAGACAGATCGTTGATGCTAACGGTTTACTCAAAAAGACTCATGAATCGAATTCATAAGCTACTCGTTCCTCCTTACAAGGACACTGTTTCGTTGGTTGGTCTAGAAAGTCATGGGAAAGGCAAGCTAAGTGAAATCACAGTTTAGACTCATTTTTCAATCAAAGTATGTCATAGAGTTTTCTAATCTATACGACCGAATCTTGATTTGTGTCGAGACGTCGGGTAGAAACTTCCCAATAATCTAAAAATAAAACAACTATGAACGAATGAAGAGTTAGAAGAGATTATGAAGTCATATAAAAGGCTTTGAATTTAGTAACTTATAAGCATTCATACTCAGTGGAGAACAATACTAATATTCACACTATTATATTACTGGTAATGATTCATACAGTTGCGAAATAGAGCAACAAGATATACATACCAATTAGTGAAATGGGGCTGAAAATGAATTCTTTGGCTGATCCTTCTTTGTGGAGATGGAGAAGATAAAACGTTCCAGTCAAACGCAACCGTATTCCACGCACGGTAGCGTTTTTAGTTTACGGGTGATCTTCACTCCGAGCAACAATCTGTATTTCTGAAACTAGGCCATGCCCATATGCCTCTCCCACCTGATGTCTTCGGCAAATTCTGTGAGAGCAGCTCGAGGATCGCCATCGGAAATGGATAAGTAATATTGAGCGGTTTCATCGTCGACCATCATGCTCCGACTCAATGAATGGAGTACTCGTTTCTTCACTTGAACAGAGGACATACCCTGATCATCTGTCTCCTTACCATACAAATGATGGGTAGTGGGGATGCCATCCAAATACAACGTTGCAACTTCCCGTTTCGCGATAGCGTCCATCTCGATGTAGCATATACTGTTAATAAGTATATTGGGATTGCCAATGGGGATTAGCATTCTTTCTCTTGAGTATATGCCATGGTCGCTCATCATGTTGTTTAGACGTTTTATGTCTATGACCTACAAGAACAGTGTGTTTACAAGATCAAAATAACAAGGTCCATAACCATCAAGAACAATACATTTACGAAATCGACACACCAAAGTCGGTAACCATCAAGAACAATACATTTACGAAATCGACACACCAAAGTCAGTAACCATCAAGAACAATACATTTACGAAATCGACACACCAAAGTCTGTAACCATCAAGAACAATACATTTACGAAATTGACACACCAAAGTCTGTAACCATCAAGAACAATACATTACCAAATCGACACACCAAAGTCGGTAGCCATTAAGAACAATACATTTACGAAATCGACACACCGAAGTCTATAACCATCAAGAACAATACGTTTGCGAAATCAATACAAGAAAGTTCATAACCATCAAGAACAGTATATTTGTGAAATAAATTACACCAGAGTCCATAGCCATCGAGAACAATATCAAAAAGGTTGATCTCAACAATTATACTTGATCCTTCTAAATTGATATTTTACAATTTACAAGGATTAGGGAGCTGGGGAAAAAACTACAAACTACAACAACAAATGCGTTCTTCATTGTTGTAAACCATGTACTAAGGTGAAAGACAGAAGAGACTGTTGGATGATGAAAGTCCCACATCGGCTAATTTAGAGAATGATCATGGATTTATAATCAAAGAATACTCTATCTATTGGTATGAGGCCTTTTGGGGAAGCCCAAAGCAAAGCCATGAGAGCTTATGCTCAAAGTGGACAATATCATACCATTGTGGAGAGTCGTGTTCGTCAAACATGGTATCAAAGCCATGACCTAAAACTTAGTTGTGCCAATAGATTGGTAAATCCTCAAATGTCAAACAAAGGACTCCAAAAGAAAAGGAGTCGAGCCTCCTCGAAGGCATAGTAAAAAATGACTAAGACTCCAAAAGAAAAAGGAGTCGAAACTCAATTAAGGGGAGGCGCACTTTGTTCGAGGGGAGGTATTGGATTGATGAAAATCCCACGTCAGCTAATTTAGGGAATGGTCATGGGTTTATAATCAAATAGTACTCTCTCCATTGGTATGAGGCCTTTTGGGGAAGCCCAAAGCAAACCCCATGAGAGCTTATGCTCAAAGTGGACAATATCATACCGTTGTGGAGAGTCGTGTTTGTCTAACACAGACGACTAGAGATTTCAACAATATATCGTAGTCCATAGTCATAGAAAAGAGTTGAATTTTAACAATTCAACATGATCTTCCTTCTTAATAGATATTTTACAAGGAATTCAAGTTTAAGGAACATAAGCTACAGAGTATCAAATACTAATCAAATCTTCAATTAAGTCTATGTAATGTTGTGGAAGATAAGACAGATTTCAATTAATGATCAGAGAACGAGTGATTCTTCAAGATCAATGTTCAAGAAACTGAACAACTATAAGCTACATTGCTACAATAAATCATTCATCCCTAACAGAATAGTGAATGTTCAAAATGTTCACTACAATCGAATTTTCTTACTTTCAGTTAGCCTGGTTTCGCCTTCAACAAATAAAGGACTCAGTAAGAGGACTTTTGAAGTTTGAACAGCGATAAAACCGTCTGACAATCTTGTTCTTCAGACGAACAAGATTAAACTCCAGCCAGATGGAAAGTACAATCAAAGAAAATTGATGATCGCAACTCCTCAAAACTAAAGAACTCCATAAAAATTATACTCGTCCTACTCCTGTTTCAAGTCAATTTCATATGAATTAAACAGCTTTCGAAGCGCATACCTGAACCGAATACTTAACGGCAAGACTAGCCAAGCTATCGCCGCGGAGAATCCGATGAGAGATCGCAAACTTTCCAAGGCAATTATCTCTCCAGAAGCTCCCGGAGCTCGGCTTCCCTATTACATCCTTCACCTTCCACGGCGCTTTGAAAGCACCGGAAACAATTTCCTGATCGGAAGCAACGGAGTTCCAGAGACGGGAAACGCAGCTGGAACGAGCCAAGTCGGGGATGGAAAGCTTCTCAAAGATGAGGCGAAGGATGTCGCGGCAGGAGAGGGCGAAGAAGTGAGAGTTCATCGGAGACAGTACGGCAGTGGAAGAACCCGGTAGCGTAGGCTGCTGCTGCGGCGGAGACTGAACGGTCGGTGAGGGATGAAGATGCCTCAGGATCTCAACGTCGTCATCTTCGTCGCAACAGCACCCCATTTAGAGAGAGAGAGAGAGAGAGAGAAAAACGAATGGTTATTATTAGTTAGTCTTTATTTATTTGATCAAATTACTTTTGGATGATGAGGGGTAGGATTGAGAATATGTTCAAACTTAGGGCTATAATCGTCCATTCAACCAATAATATAATATATATATATATATATATATATATATATATATATATATATATATATATATATATATTATTAGAATATATTTATAAAGATAGTAATTGGAGATGTCTATTTAACTTCTGGTATCAAAAAAATTGTGGGGCTGACGCCCAAATTCTGGAGAATGGGGGAGAGAGTAGGTATAGATTTCACCTTATTAATTAACTGATGTCGGGGTCGAGATTATATTCCTCGTTACCGTCTCACTTAATATAAATATATTTTCAAAAATATATTCCTCGGGGTTGTTTTGTTTTTGTTGTATTCATAATCATTAGTGTTGATTCAACTATTAATTTATTAATAATATAACGTTTTGAAGGTCGTAAGTAAGATGTAATGTGGATACCCGGTATGTGAATAATGTGACACGCCTGACTATATAAATGAAGATTGTCAAGCGAATGCCACAAAACTCGTATATGTGGTACGCGAGTTTTGTTTGGGTCATGCGTATGATGCATGCAAATTAGGGGTAGCAGTGTGACCCGCCTTACTATATAAGTGAATGTCGTCACTTAAAAATCATGTTGAAGGCTACGAAACTCGTGCTCGTGGAATACGAGTTATGTTCAGGTCACACGTACGATGGATGAAAGTTAGGGGGTAGCAAGGTGACTCCCCTTGCTATATAAGTAAATGTTGTCACCTAAAAATCATGTTGAATGCTACGAAGCTCGTGCACGTGGTACACGAGTTATGTTCGGATCACATGTACAATGTACACAAATTAGGGGTAGTAATGTGACCCGCCTTGTCATATAAGTGAATATC